AATAGCATGTTAAAGTACAGAAATTGGTCATGCAGATGTTGGCTTCAAACCATTGCTTGCACCATTCCATCTTCCTATTCCTAAATTGTTAGTAGCCATCAGAAACCAATGTAACTAGATATATTACTAAGCATTTGCATTATATACATCAAAAAGAAGAAGCAGAAATTTTGATTTCATCTGAATTGAGTCCAACTGTATTGTTAAAAAGTACATGTGCAAACAAGTAATTGCTACTGGCTTCAAACCCGGGATCTGATTGAAAATTGGGCAATCTGGCATACATGGCACACATATATCTACTGAATGCACATTCACTGTACGTCAACAGAGTCTTATGAATTGGATGGAGGGATAGATGGATGGATGATAGAGAAGAATGGCCATTCAAATCAAGCACTGAGACTATGGGCAGCTTACCACAAAACACAGAGAACCAAACAATGAACAATTCCACATAAGCACAGAGACAATCATAAACAATCACATCACACCTATTCCAGATGTGGAGTAGGTCATCATGACCCCAGTGCCAGAGGAAATAACCAGGCTTTTCTGAAGATCAACAATAAATTGGGGTGGGATGCAGTAGGGAGAAGTGTTCCCGAGGGCAGGGCGGATCATAGCTGCTGAACAAAGTCTTGTGATAAGGGGCTCAGAGGATTTCTCCTTGCCAACCTTCTTGGCAGCATTGCCACAGTGTTCTTTCCCCTTTATACCCTTGGACCGCACCTAATGGATTAGGGTCATAGGAATAGTATGCTGAAAGAAAAAGCCAACAATAATGCTCAGCCCAACAAAGATACCGATTTGCCCCTTTGCAGATATAATCTTCAGATCTACTTTGCGGGTCTATACTTACCCCTGGGCCCCCAAGGATTCATCCCTGTTTGATTACAAGTAGCCTTGACTTACAACAGTTCGTTTGAAGTTATAAGGGCACTAAACAAAGTGAGATGACCATTTTTCACACTTACGACCAATGCTTGGAAACTGACTGATACTTACAACAGTTGCAGTTTCTTGAGGTCATGTGATCACCTTTTGCAACTTTCTGACAGTCAATAGGGAAGCCTGATTCACTTATCAACCATGCTTAAAGTCAGTCATTCATTTAACAAATGTGGCACAAAGTTTATAAAATGGGGCAACATTCCCTTAATCCAGTGTTTCTCAATCTTGGCAACTTGAAGATGTCCGGGACTTCAACTCCCAGAATTCCCCAGCCAGCATTCGCTGGCTGGGGAATTCTGGGAGTTGAAGTCCAGACATCTTCAAGTTGNCCCATGCCACGCGCACCAAGCCATGCCCACAGAACCAGTAATAAAAAATCATTAATCCCACCACTGGTCTACATCTGAACTTCATTTAATTTGACTTAAAACAACAACAACAACAACCCATTTCTACTTGCACCCGGCAACTGACAGCCCTAATGAGCCGCCTCAGAACTGGAGCTCACTTCGATTCTCCAAGGTGCCCCACAGAACTCCAGCTGCGGAATCCTCAATCCTCAAGTCTCAAGCCATGATGGGCGTTGCCTTTCTTTCCTTTTCATCTGACTCGTATTTAGAAATAGGCCGAGTTTGTACAACTCACTTAATTTTATAGTAAATCAACCCATTCTTTGGCCCCGCGTATTGTTTGTAATCATACACTGGGGCAGGGGTCTCCAACCTTGGCTACTTTAAGATTGTGGGCTGCAACTCCCAGAATTCCTCAGCCAGTTTGTTTTGTGGCTTTGCTTAATTTCTTTTTCCTTTGAAAACGTTTCTTCTCATCCAAAAAGCTTCTTCAGTTCTGACTCAGAATATTCTATATTTACTTAGAACTGAAGAATTGGATGAGAAGTGAAACATTTTCAAAGAAAAAAAAAGTCCGGTTACCTTTTAGAAGAAGAACCTTTGCCGACTATTCGAAGGACAAGTGGAGGCAGAGAAAGCTGCGGTAAGCAAGCAAAGGGGAATATTGAAGGGGCTTACTGTTGCACCCAGGGGTATCCTTAGTGCAAAAAAGTTAAGGGGGCGGCTGTGGGTTGGTGTGGGTGTGCGCACGCCGTGCCACCTTGACTTTTTTAACCACCCCGTGCTGACACACCTGAATGCAAACCGATTCCCATCCTATGGCTTAAGTGGCGAGACGCCAAGTGCCAGAGCGATGCCGGAGTCTACACACCCCGGGAAGACAGGGCCTTTCCTTCTTTCCTTCGGTATCTCCTGCCTCTCCGCGGCCCTCCCGGTCCATATGCTGAGCATTGCGTACGGACCCGGAAACGTTTTCACCTGAACCGGGCGTGAAATTCGGCAAGTTCTGGAGAACCGGTAGTGGGGTGGGAATGGGGATTTTGCAGTATCCTTCTCCTGCCACGCCACCAAGTCACGTCCACAGAACCGGTAGTAAAGAACATTTGAATTTCACCACTGACCCCAACGCTTTAACTTCAGCCTGTTCGCGGGGGAAAACACACTGCACTCATCTTTACAATGAGCCGGGCTAAAAGTAAAGATACAAGGAAAGCATAAACTTTTGTGCGGAACTTTTGCGCACAGAAAGAGGGAGGCTAGGTCGACCATTCAACCCACTCTCTTGTTCAATGCTCTCCCCATCTTGAAAATGCTCCGTGACTTCTTCAGTTTGGAGATCCCGACGTCCACCAGTCCCGGTCAGCGTTGCTTTGGAGTTTGCGTCCAGCAGCACCTGAGAACCGGAGGCTCTTCTTGGCCCGTCGTCGCAAAACCCAGTGAGGTCACATAGAACCAAAACGGGTGAAATCGTTTGAGCTGGAAGACGAATTAATCATAGCCAGAATGGACTGTCAGATCGGAATGCTGGCGAGCCAGAGGATTGAGAGCTGACTTGGCTTAACTTTATCCCTGGTTTAAAGAAAAATTGCAACTGTAAAGGCGGAGGCGACTATCTTAACGCGGGACTCGCGAGTGGCGCCAGTGACCAGGGTGATGATGCACCTGGTGGGCAGTTGACTTTCAATAGCAAAGGCGGTTTCTTGGAAGCCAGTTCAGAATAGCGCGATTGTGGATAGACTCAGTCGGTCCCTTTGAATTTAAGGCGACTTGTCCTTGAGTGGACTTCCCTAGCCAAAGTTACGTTTCAATAAGCCCCATAAGGATCAGACGGCGGGGAAGGAAGCGAGCTTTTGTGTCCCCTTAGGAAGAAGCCCCTCTATACAACGAGGGACTTCGGGACGTGTGAACTAGGATGGTTTGGGAATCTGGTATTGTGGGGAGAGAGCTGTGATAGTGTCCCCAAATTAGAAGGAGCCTGGAAGAAGCATTTCCGTTTCATTACAGAGGATAATCTGGGAATTGGAGAGGCCAGAAGAAAAGGAAACGTCAGAAAATGCTTTGTGAAAGGCCCACGCGTGCAACTGAACTGCCACTGAGGAAGCCCTCCACCTCATTTGCTTTCGCTTTCTCTCTTTTCAGTGGCCGCCCCCCGCCGCCGCCCGGGCACCCACTCCCCGGATTACGCGACGCAGACCCACCGTTCAGCTCAGCAATTCCCCTATTGGGCTCAGTGGACGCTGGCCACCCAACCCAAGGCCGTGTGCCATTTGTCAGTCTTGAACGTGCCCCAAGGCTCCTGGCTGCTGCTGTTGTTTTCTGCAACAGATTAACCCGGCTGCGCCTCTGGCAACCGTAAAGGAACAAGAGCGAATTGCCCACCGAGAGAGAAGTGCTTGTTTTCTTAGGAGGACCCCATGTGACCGGGGCTAAAGGGTCCCGGGACTTTGGCAAGCGCTGCCTGCTAAATGTCTTATCATTACCCGCTAATGACCGCCCAACACCCCCCCCCTCCCTCTTCTCTGGGCCTCCGGGAAGCTTCCATAAAGTTCCTTAAAGGTTGCATGGCTAGAAATTGCACGCCGGGGGGCGGAGGGGCCACCAGCAGCTGGAACACATCGGTAACGGTGCAAATCCAGAATTTTCGTCTTTTCACAGAGCTGCCACTTGCACAAGAAACTGAGAGCGGACGGGAGGGGGGGGCGCAGGAGGAGCTTTGGGGTTGCAAATGTCTTGGAGATGAAGGACCGGGCAGCCCTTTCCCTTCCCAGGACTCCGGGGAGGGGGAGCATGAACCGTCCCTCCGTCCTGCCTGCCTGAGTAAGGCTGAGTAAGTCAGAAAGAAAGTTGTCGGAAGTCCTTTTGGGCTGCGGTTCGCGCCACCCACGAACTCTGGTTCATTAAGTCAGCTTTGAATTTGCCCAACAGTTTGTCCGCTATCCTTAACATTTCTTTTCGCTCCGCCTCCAGAAAGAACAAAACGTGGAATTTGGAAAATTGCTAAATGGTACAGTAATAAAAAGTTAAACGCGACCTTCTACTTCTATAACTTGTATATTAGTCGGGATAATAGTTGTCTTTTTTATGGAAGAACCCAGTTCAATTACTAACCAATAGTAATAGAAGTAAAAGAGGGGGGGGGACCCCTTGCGACCATTTGCTAGGGATTAGTCTTCTTTGGATAAACTTTGAATTCCTTTATTTTTAACGGACCGAGGTGATCGCTTGGCTTTTTTCACGCCCCCCAACCAGCTTCTTTCTTAAGAGCCCCTTTTACCGCCAAGTAGAGTAGCCGGACGCCAAAGAGGAGTCTTCGGCTACTCTTCGGATCTCCTAGCTTTTGGGGGTGGGGGGATAGAGGGAGGTACTGAAGCAACTCCCCATCGGGCTGCCGGAGTGCGGCCTCGCCTCTCGGTTGCGCTTTTTTGTTTTTCTTGCTGCTGCTGTTGCTGTGATCTTTAAAGTGTTACTAATTGCACTTCTTGGATCCGCGCCTTGGAAAAAGGCAGCGGCCAATCCCCGCCAGAGGAGCGCAGGGTCCCTGGAGGGAGAAGGGGGGAGGTCGGGGGACTCCCCCGAGCAGGGGTCGTGACGGTGCTGCCAGTTAGGCTGCCCACCCGGGATATAAAGAGTCGCGAGCCGCTCGGCCGGTTCCAGAGCGCCGGTGCCCCAGCCTCTCCCTGCAGCTCAGCGGCGAGGATGGAAGAGATGATGGACGGCTGTTCGTTTTCGTCCCCCTCCCTCTTCTACGGCAGCTCGCCCTTCGCCCCTTCCCCCGAGGAGGAGGAGGAGGATTTTGCCCAGAGGAGGGTCCCGGCCTCCTTCCGAGACCCCCCGGCGGACCCTCCCGGGGGCTCGGACGGCGAGGAACACATCCGCGCCCCGACGGGCCACTCGCAGGCCGGCCCCTGCCTGCTCTGGGCTTGCAAAGCCTGCAAGAAGAAGGCGAGCCCGGGCGACCGGCGCAAGGCGGCCACTCTGCGGGAAAGGCGGCGGCTGAAAAAGGTCAACCAGGCTTTCGAGACGCTCAAGCGCTGCACCTCGGCCAACGCCGGCCAGCGGCTGCCCAAAGTGGAGATCCTGCGCAACGCCATCAGCTACATCGAGAGCCTGCAGGAGCTGCTGCGGGAGCAGGTCCAGCAGTTTTACGGGCTGCCCGCGCCGGGCTGCTCCGAGCCCCCCAGTCCCAACTCCAGCTGCTCCGACGGCCTGGTAAGGACGCTCTGCCCCCCCCCCCCCGGTCTGAATCTCTCCCGAAGGAGAGCAGGGAACGGCGGCGGGCAGGCTCAGAAGGGCTAACTGGGGCGGAAGGGCCCCCGAGAGAACCCCGGGCTGTCCGCTGCAACCTCACTTGCTCCCCGTCGCTCTTCTTTTAAACAGCTGTGATTGTTTCCCGCACCATCCTGGGGCCCTTTCCCAACCGCGGGGTTTTAGCGGAGCTTTCACGGGATTAAGGCAGGATTTGAAATCCCCAAAATGCTGCGCAGGGCTAATAGGTCGATGCCTGAGCCGGAGGAAGACTCTCCTGGAAGCAATTCGGCATGTTTGGGGGCTGCAAGGAGGAGCAACCTTAGCGGATGGGGGTGGCCCCTACGGGTGGTGCTGAATTGCGTTTCTCTGGCTGTGCCAACACCTTTGCTCATTCCACTTGGTGTGCAAAAGCTTTAGTGAGTAGCATATAGTTTTGATTTGGGAGGGAGCACTTCTAGGAAGTAGGAATAAGATTGTGCTACTTGTTTGGCAAGTGTGCAAGGCCACGTGGTGCCTCACAATCGTTTTATTTCTATGACTGTCTTAAAGGGGATTTTGGGGGGGGCAAGCATTCTGATATTTCCTTTTGACAATTCTCTGAAATGAATTGTTAGCTGCTGATCCATGTTCTGCAAATGGAAAATGGAGACAAATTCCCAGAGTAGCCTGTTTGCTCTTTGGCTTAGCATGTTCCCATTAATTGCAATTCTGTGTAGGACCTAATATCTCCATATGCTGCACTTAACTACGGCAGTGTAAGATTATTCATTCAAAATTTATGGTATAGCAAAACTTTGTTTCCCTATTCTGTTTGCTGGATACAGGATCAAAATGTAATTTAGGCATCCTTCCACAATTTAGGCATCCTTCCTGGATACAAAAAGAAGGAAGAGAACAATTATGCGGTTAACCCTTTACATTTTTTGAATAGTTTGCATTGCGTGCTTGTGTTACAAGTGCATCTTCTGAACATTTATCTAATGCAGGGCTTCTGAAGCTCAGCAATTTTAAGATGTATAGACTCCAACTCCAAAGCTGGCAGGGGAATTCTGGGAGCTGGAGGCCACACATCTTAAAAGTTCCTGAAGTTAAGAAATATTATACAGTATAGTCTAACTAACACATACTCCTGAGGAAGAGCTGTAAGGTTGCAGTGTAAAAAATAATGCCTGGGAGGTCAAGCTGTATCCTTCAAATTTCCTTGCAAGCAATCTTATCAAATGGCAAAGTCTTCAAACAACTGGGAAATTCTTGTACTAATTTCTCTGGGAGTAAACTGCACTGCACCTCACTGCATACATCAGTTTCCTGTAATTCTGCATCAATTTCCCTTTTCCCCCAGGGGAGTTCACAGAATGGGGGTAGCTAAATGATCCAGCCAGATCCATCAAGGATTAGAGTCAGATCCCTTGATTTAACATTCAGGGCCACCTGTTTATTTAAATCTCAGAGGTATTCTGATTCAAAGATGTGTAGGTAGTGATTCTTCTAGGCATATTGAGATTGCAACTGTCAGGCTGTGGTGAGGTTTTACTTGGTGGGATTTATTCGGATTGTCCATTGGTAGGATGGTGTTGTTTGCTGAAGTTATGGATCCCTGAAGGCAGGAGCTTGACCCTGAGTCTGTTAAAGTGTTTGCTTTGAAGTTCATGACATCACCAGGTTTCCCTGTTTGAGCTTGAGTGAAACACCAGTTGTGTTTCAGTTTAAGTGTTAAGAAGCTGTCTGCTTCAGTTCTAAAGTGCCTCTGATGGGCCTTGCTCTTAACTGTTTCAAAACCCTTGTTCAGAAAACTCATTAGGCCAGGTTGAAGCATGTGAAAAGTGCAGAGCACAAACAAGCTATAGTAAAGTTTACTTGGTGTTCAACCATGAACACCTCACCTGAAGGCAGTTCCTTTACTCCTTTGTAACACCACTTTGGGAAAGTGTCACCTTCAGATCTTAAATGTTTACACATACATATGGCCTTTGAGTAGTCCTAATAAAGATACTTTCTTCACGTGCTTTATTTTTGTGGGTAACTCAGCTACTTTTGCTTAGTATGGATGTTCTAGATATACAGATGTATGCACATGTTGATATATATGTACATTATTATTTTTCAGAAAATGCAGAAATTACCTTAATAGGAATTTAAATGAGATTATTATAATTCTAACATTAGATTTAGGCCCTGCCCAAAATCAATACGATTCTGGCTAGATATTTTAAAACAAAACAGCAATGCATTATAGAAAATACATGATACAAAATAATGCATATAAGTTCAGATTGTCTGACTATAATCTGTTTGTATATAACTATTATCTTTCACCTATTTGTCATCTATCAACTAGCCATCATTTCCTCCCTCCCTAGCAAAATGCAATGTATGCAGTCTAAACAGTGAAAAGACTAGGCATGTCCCAACTTTTAACTTTTGTTGGACAAAATACACATGTAAAAAAACCAAGATATGGTCTATAATACCACATTGTTTTTGTTTTTCTCTTGAGATGGTGAGCATTGATGTGCTTGCATTTAGCAAAAAGCCATTTTTTCCTGCTATGTTCCTATTCTTGCCTCAACTCCTGCCAGCCCAGTTCGAAATAATGCAAATGCAAGTAGATAAATAGGTACCACAGTGTGGATGAGCTTGGTTAGTTAGCTTATTACACAAAGGAGTTTTCTTGGCATGGCTAGGGTAGCTAAATTTTGGGAAGTGGGCACATAAACATATGGGCTCAAATTCCAGTCAGTAGAGTTCCTAATATGTAAATATAACTGAAATGTAATCATTATGCAATAGTAACAATGCTAATTACTACTATTAGTAGTAATATTATATTTTAACCCCTCTCCCAATAATTAGTAGAAACTCCATGCAACCATGAAATACAACGAAGTATTTTATATAGCAGAATCACATCTAATTGTTCTAGGAAGCTATACTTACATAATGATAGCAAAAATCAGAAGCAAAGATAAGGATTGAAACTGAACCCTATTTTAAGATTTTAGTTGTTCAAATAACACTGGTATATATCAGAACCTCATTTGCCATATATCATTGAATTAATCCAATATTTTCTTTGAACACAGTTGCAAAATAGAAGGAAAAAAAACCCGGACAAGTTGCACTGTATGGCCTGATTGTTATTTTGACTCCCAAGGCAGAAAATCCTGCAAATGTTGCCTTCCTTTCTATCATTAAAACACAACATGTTAAATAGATATTTGTTGCCTTTCCTAACAGCAAAAACCAGCTGTCTGAAACAATCACCTCAATTTTTAAATGTTTTGACAAACCTTGTTTGTCATGTGTAAAATAATTAACAGAGTCTGTGAACTTGGTGGTGCAATGGTTAGAATGCAGTACTGCAGGCTACTTCTGCTGACTGCTGGCTGCCTGCAATTTGGCAGTTCCAATCTCACCACAGGCTCAAGGTTGATCCAGCCTTCCATTCTTCCAAGGTTGGTAAAATGAGGACCCAGATTGTTGGGGGCAAGAGGCTGACTCTGTAAACTGCTTAGAGGGGGCTTTAAAGCACTGTGAAGCAATATATACTGTGTTTCCCCGAAAATACTTTCACGGTGGGCAAAAATATAAACCCTCTCCCAAAAATAAGCCCTAGTGAAGGGGTGGGTTTAGCCAGAACAGGGGGCAGCCCTTCCCTTCCTCGGTCACCTCAGGGCTTTTTGGCCCCTTAATCAGATCAGCTGGGCTGCTCCATTCACAAAACAGCTGATTCGTAGGTGCTCAGCACAGACTCAGAACAGGATAAGAGGCAAACTCCCCCTTTCGCTCTTTCCTTGGGATCTCAGCGCAGACACACATCCCCCAAATGCTCTATCCGAAGCCTTCTCTGCGTCTGTGCAGAGTTGCCAAGGAAAGGATGGTGCGTGGGTTTGTGTGAGAGAGATCCCTACCCCCCCCACCTCCCAGGCAGCCACATCCCTCCACTAACCTGCTTTCCTGCTCCATTCTCCACTGCCACGTGCAGGGCAAGAAAAGGAGTTTGTGGGACTACTTCCAACTTCGCAAGATACTTTTCTTGTCCTGCACATGGAGCAGAGAATGGAGCTGGAAAGCAAGTTAGTGAAAGGATGTGGCTGCCTTGAAGAAGAGTGTGTGTGTGTGTGTGTTTTTTCGTTCATTCTGCCAGCAAGAGGCGCCCCCCTCCCCGCGAGGCCAGAGCAGCACAGTCAGCTGTTCTGCGGCCAGCAAGCAGGGCAGGCGAAGGCCAGGATGCAAGGAGAACTTGGGTCATTGTGGCAGCAGGCAAGCAGGTGGTGGGATGGAGAGGGTGGGGCTGGTGGGCTTGCTGCTTCCTGCACCTGAAAAATAATAAGACCTCCCCAAAAATAAGGCCAACCCCTTATTTGGAGGGTCAAAAGAAAGGAAACACGGTAAGTCTAAGTGCTATTGCTTTGTGCCACACTAGATGAAACAGCTGCACAACCAGAAAGCATCCTCTGTGAGACTTAGCAATAGCAGTTAGACTTATATACCGCTTCATAGGGCTTTCAGCCCTCTCTAAGCAGTTTACAGAGTCAACATATCGCCCCCACAATCTGGGTCCTCATTTCACCCACCTCGGAAGGATGGAACGCTGAGTCAACCTTGAGCCGGTGAGATTAGAACCACTGAACTGCAGATAACAGTCAGCTGAAGTGGCCTGCAGAACTGCACCCTAACCACTGTGCCACCTCGGCTCTTCATTGGACTGCCTTCAGCCCTGTACTTATTTATATCCAGATATTGCTGATATCTATCCAAATTCAATGTTCTTTCCAGATATTCTGGCAGATGAAATCCAATTGACAGTGCCTTTAATGCATAGAAACCCCCAACCTCATGGCTTCTTATCTATTTCAGACTGAATGCAGCAGTCCCCTGTGGTCCAGAAGGAACAGCACTTATAGCAAGAGTTACTGCTCTGATCTCCAAAATGGTAAGGCTCCCATCTCTTCACTCTCCAAGGATGACAGTAAGAGCATAACAATGGAGGTATTCAACTGGACAGAATAACCCAGTAGCTGCTCTGGTAATATCTGGCAGCACATGATAGACTTTGAAAAGAGAAATTCAGTTACCTTAGATTTGAATGTCTGTTAGTTATCTTTCTCTTTAAAAGTGTACAGAGTGGAATACACAAATAATATACAATATTTTATGCAGCTATTTTATGTAATTTCTGGGATCAAGTCCCATAAACAAAAATGGAAAGAACTGAGTATGATTAGGTGGGAGAAGAAATAATTAAAAGACAGAATGATAGCAGTTTTCAAATATATGAAATGTTGATACACTAGCCAGTGGTTTCCAAACTTGGCAACTTTAAGACTTGTGGACTTCAATTCCCAGAATTCTTCAGCCAGCTCGGCTGGAGAATTCTGGGAGTTGAAGTCCACAAGTCTTAAAGTTGCCAAGTTTGGGAACCACTGCACTAGGCTTAGGTTTTTCTGCTTTCTAAAGCATATCTTACAGAATCCCTGATCAGTTGCTGACCCTTCTGACTAATTGTTCCTAGAACTGTAATACAAAGCTTTTGAGGATGTTGAAAAAATTTGCTCCAGAGGACAGACCTGACCAATGGCTTCATATAATAAACAGAGCATTATTTCCTAAACATTAGTCAAATTTGCTTCAATAATCACTGGAATCACCTTAATCACCAGAATAATTCTAGGCAATTGAATTGAAATGATAGGAAAGGACATTTTTCCAGGCATTAGCAAAAGCTGACAAACAGCTTGAATAATGGATTCTCCTTTATTAATGGAGATGGCATGCATGAAGGAACATGTGTGACATCTGCAGTGACTGGCTTAGACCAACTCATGAAGTAGCATCAAACTTTGATTTTGTATCTCTTTCCACTAAGTGCTGTTTTGTCTTTCCCTCTCAGCCTACCCCTCAGAAGCAGCTAGCTCTACCATCTCCAGCCTGGATTGCTTATCCAGCATAGTGGATAGAATCTCTTCTTCGGATCAGGAGGGGCTCTCCCCCAGGGACGCTGCTCCCCTTTCTCCTCTTACCAGCCCTGAATCCCGGCCAGCCTCTCCTGAGGCCCCTCATTCCAACCTCATCTATCATGTACTTTGAACTGCCTGAGATTTTACACCAGCTGGGCCAACGATTGGCTGCTTCTGAGAATTCCCAGCATCAACAAGGAGATGCTCCATTGAAATATGAAGCTCTTGGAATTCTGGTGGACCAAAAATATGCATACAAAGAAAAAAAAGTCACTTTATTTTGTCCTACCTTCCCTTTTTAGAAAGCAAACGACATATTTAATCAAACTACTTTTTAATACTATGTACTATAATTATATGCTGACCTTTAAATTGTATGACATCACTATCTTAATTATCCTAAAGAATAGAAGCCAAACGCGTGGATGTAGATCCATGTTTTGAATTGCTATAAGAAAACACAGGATTAGTTAAATTATATTTCATAAAAGTACATTTAATAAAAAAATACATTAGCTACATGATCTCTTGTTGTTATCTATATTATTATAACATAATACTATCTAAAAATAATAACCCAGGATCAACTCTACAACTAGCTAGGACAAACCAGCATAGTTCAAAACGCAGGTGTTTGCTATCTCTGTTTATTTTAATGTTTATTTTACCACTAGGGGGAGACATTTAGAGGTTCTTAGATAAACCTTGATTCAGGTTTCCAATTGCTACTACCCCTTTAGACCTACAGTATTGACAAAGACCTGTGGAATGCAATAACATCTTATCATGTTTCTGTTACTCTCTTTTTTCCCCTGCAGCCAGGGTCTCTCAGCCAGTATTAAGCATTGAGCTGCTTCGGCCAGCCTCTGTCTCTCTAAATTTAGGAAATCAAAGGGGAAGGGAATCTGGTTTTACTTTTATAGTTATGCTTTTGATAACAACAATAAAAAACTTTACTATTTTTATATGATTTTCTATTCAAGGTATGTAAAATGATCCTTGGCAAAGGATTTGAATGATAAGTAGTTCTTTAATGTGATATTTCCATTCTTTAAATTCAAAACACTCGTAGGCTAATGTTTGAAAACACTTTTGATCTCTATGCAGCTCAGTGTCTGGAGTATGCTTTCATGTTTTGTGATAGATAGCTGTTCTTCAGAGGCCAACTGAGTTAGCCTGTGCCAAAAAACTGGATGTTTTACATACAAACACACATAAACTATGTTGTACTTAGTTGTTCTAAGTTATATTGAGCTGTTGATCCCATGTAACACAACAATGATATTAACTAATATAGTATTTTAATTAAACCTAGTGTTTGATAGAAGAAAAAGTACGGTAGTTCACGTTTCAGCCTGATACAACTATAGCTCTAGGATTTCCATTCAACTCCCCTTCTCACTCAATAGTGAATTTAATTGAACATGTGCCTACTGTGTGTGTGTGTGTGTGTGTGTGAGAGAGAGAGAGAGAGAGAGAGAGAGAGAGAGAGAGAGAGAGACAGACAGACAGACAGACAGACAGACAGAGACAGAGACAGAGACAGAGACAGAGAC